TCTATTCTCGGGCCACTGTCGCTGCGTTGGATCAGTTTCAGTAAGTACCGGAATGCAGAAAAAAGTGGCGGAACCCAAAAGACGAAAATACAGAAGCTCCGGAACTGCGTTCCGCTGCGTTCCGGCCCACTTCAAGCACTGTCCATGACCACGTTGTGGGAAAAACTGTACAATTGTATGCTAGCCTACATAACATTTACATAGTAGTATAAAAAAAAATTGGGAACAAGAGTAGTATACAGCGTAATAGTAAAACAATAACAGTAGGTATTCTGTATGCTAAGTAACAATTTCCATTTTGTTTAGACTTCTAAACACGAAGAGCAATAGATCAATTCGGATATTGTATAGATTTGTAAACATGAACAATAACACCTGAACTTACTTAACTGATTCAAAAGTGATTAATGAATTGACTGAAACTGATTAAACTTAATGAAAAACTCACAATCGAAAGTTAGCTAACAAGTATGTCGGTCATATTCAAACAAAACAGCTAAATTTTACTTTAGCCATCTAAACGATAGCATTTATTTAACGCTAGCTCAGAGTAGCTGTTAAGACGTAACATTTCAACGTAAGGACTTACTCTCATAAATGTCGATGTTGCTGCCGATATACATCTTAAATCCCTTTTCCCGTTTGCTGGAGGGAGTGGGGCATGATGTCCTGACAAGTCTGTCCACATCATTGACTGTCAGACGAGGCAGGTCTTGAAGACGGCGACTGTAAAAAAGAGTCATGTCTGTCGCGCCGGTGTAACCGGAAGTTAATCAGCCGGTATAAACCAACCCGGAACTGTGACGTACATTGAGCGTATCCCAAGACGGTGGAACTGCACATGCGCAGAAAGGCTCGATAGCACGTCTCGATAGGTAGGATGTTTTGTCAGAAAACAGGTGTTATCCAGGACTGGAGTTTGACACCCCTGATTTAGCACCACAAGACACAGTTGCAATGACTGACACGAGTGTGTGGTAATTACACTGATACAATTAAGAAAAGAAATGACTAAGGAGAAAAAAAGCAGGCTTAGTTTAAGTAACTTCACAGTACATCGAACTGGGTGTAGTACATAATGGTGATTTCATTTAGCACATAGAGAAAAACATTTAAGTAATGTCACCTTTGACATTGACGGCCATACGCCGTATTTTACGTCGCTCTTTCTGAGGCACATTGGGCATTAATGGCCTGTGCAAAATAAAATCTTTTGAAGTGGAGTAAAACTCGAAGGTCTACATTACTATCCAGTTAAATCTGCTCTTTCCTCTCGCTGTCGACGTTCTCAGTTCTCACCAAAAATCAACAGAGGATGAAATGTGACGCGATGCCGTAAAAATAGCACGCCTCCTTCCAGAAGTCGTAAGCGTGCGCATGCGTACATGGTAGCGGAAGTTACATTTTCGGTAGGTGTAAACATTTTCGGTAGTAACAGACTACACCCAGACCTTCTATTACACAGCAAAAAAAAATGTCAATTCTGCTCTTACTTCCTGTGATGATATGATGTTGATGGACTACAATTACCATACAGGGATTGGTGTTTGGGGTATTGTGGGTAACGTTGGCATTGCGTGGGCAGTGACCATCGATATCTATAGAATGACTAAATTTTTTTTTTTTCTTTTTTTTTTTTTTTTTTTTTTAAATTTTTTTTTTTTTTTTTTTATTGAACAATCATTCATATACAAACAACTCGGCAAAATCAAACACCTTTATATTACTACAAAT